CTGTCAACCTCCTCCACACTGCCCTGTCAACCTCCACCACGCTGCCCTGTCAACCTCCTCCACGCTGCCCTGTCAACCTCCTCCACGCTGCCCTGTCAACCTCCTCCACGCTGCCCTGTCAACCTTCTCCACGCTGCCCTGTTAACCTTCTCCACGCTGCCCTGTCAACCTCCTCCACGCTGCCCTGTCAACCTCCTCCACTCTGCCCTGTCAACCTCCATGCTGCCTTGTCCTGCGCCATCTCTCTTTCTGCTCCTCGGGCCACCATGGTCCGATCGCACCACATCGCCCACCCACCTCTCCTTCTGCCTTCCTCTTGATCTCTTTCTTTCCACTTGCATAATTTGCACCTTCTGACCCACATAATTTTTCTGTTGTCTCTCAACATGACCGAATCAGTAGCAAAATTATCTAAATAAATCTAAACGCATGTTGACTCTGTCAGCAATGTGAAATCGCGACCTGTGGACTGCGAGTCCAGCAGTCAATAGCCACGGTGTTGCCCAGTTACCGCTACCACATATTTATTTGTGCTACCACAAGCCGAGTTCTAGACATCTCCGAGCCGCAGCCTTAACCTCATCTCCAAGCAAAAGTCAATTTGTAATCGTCAGATCCAGACGTGCAATGATTTAACCCCCCAGCGATTCACGATTCAACTCTGAAGTCAACTGTTTGTAAAGCTCACCAACTACGGTTGAAATGGCTAATGCATTAGCTCTGTCCGTCTGTCCATCTGTCTGTCTATCAGAAACGTGGGGGCATGATAACTGTGCGAGAAATTATCCAGTGTGAATGAACTCGAGTCTAATATCGTGTTGCTATTAGAGACTTACCCAGTATAAAATTGGCCAAATTGTTCGAACGTTTGCCCGAAACTTTGGGAAACAAAAAAAACAGCGCTAAAAGTCTTGGGAACAAGTCGAAAACCCTAACACTAAACCGAAGTTAACCGCAAATTTTTATGAACCGAAACTAAAATTTGAATGTTTGCTCTGGAACTAAATAAACAGGGAATCGGTTGCAAGTTGCACCTGTTATTTTTATTTTAGCTCTGTTAACCGGGGGGTTGTTAAAAGTGAGATTGGCCACGTTCCCACAGCCAAGTTCACTGACATCACGCTCGCGGAAACATTTGTCGGGGTCCCTCGGTGGCAACTGTCGCAAGGAGGAGGTTCGAACGAGGCTGGCACGAGGCTGGCACGAGGCTCGACAATGTGGGGGACGCTGCTGCAACCGACTCATCGAGACACGGGAGACTCAACTGATGGAGCGACCCGGCCATTACAAATGATAGCTCAACCAAGTGGTTGAAATGTGGAGGGAAAAACCAGAGGACCCGGAGAAAAATGCACGCGACATGGGCACGTGCGCACAGGGGCGGAGCCAGGATTTCAGGCCGGGGTGACATTCAACAAATTTCAAGAATGATTAGAGAGTCAGGCTGTTGAACTAGACGCCATCGGTTGGCGACACACTCTGACAATGCAGTTGCACGGAGTCCGCCAGACCGAGTGTCGTACACTTATACGCAGAATGTCACCCCTGTCACCCCCCCTGGCTCCGCCCCTGCATGCGCATAGACAGATGAACACAGACAGACAAGCAAGGCAGGACTAGTCGCCAAATATTGACCGATAAGTAGAAATGTAGTATATCTCAAAATTTCACCGTAAAATTTACATTTTATGGCTTAACGATGGCGTTACCTTTAAAATCTTCACCACTACCGAAGTAGTTGCGTTCCTGAAGAATACCGAATTATGGAAAAATTGCATTACAATATACAATAAAACACAGTCCGCGATAACTCGTGAGATGCGTAACGCAGGCTGAACAAAGACCGAGGCGCATGGGTAGCATCTAGAAGCATCCAGCAGCATCCCACTGCCTTGTGCGACGCTACGCCGAGGCAGCCGTACGACCGCTTATTCCTACTCGCGTGGCGACGTAGTTCAGTTCGGCCACTCGCGTTATATCCAATTCGCATCCACGTTATAAATAAATGCGTTCCCTCATACATTCATCATCGCGTTATATCCAATTCGCGTTTTGAAAACACGCGCGCTATAGGAGAACAGACTACTTATGGGACAACTCCTTCAGAGCCGAATCGATTCCAGCTTAGATTCCAAATCCAAAACTGAAATCTGACCGATCCCAAATCTTTATTTGCTTGACATGAAAGGCACAAAAATCAAATTTTTGTCAGCCTAGGGTTGGCCTTGGATTGGCTCAGATATAATCTGCCACTGGGCTGTGCAGAATATGATGATCAAGTTTGGATCAGAGCAACCCAAACAGAGCGAATTCAAATAAAAAACAAAGTTTTTATACGGAAATAAACGTTGTTTCCCCATTCTATTGCGCCTGCAAACTGTTGAAGCCATCATTCTACCACTCTGACTACTCTGACGTAGATTAAAAAGATCAGCTACCAATGAAACAGATTAAACCCGCTTTATCATTCGACTCTTCGATTTGCACTGGATGTACCATCAAGGACCTGAATGTAACTTTCTGACCCACCCCGACTGGACATCTATGGAAAAGAGCTTCGGAGCTCAGCAGATTTCTCCAGGATAAATAAAGAGTCTGATTCTGAAGGCCATTAACATTAAATAACGCCTAACTTAATTCATAATGACAGCAAATAACTCTAGCCAGACTTAATCAATTGAGCATTTATTATAATATAACACACTCTCTTCAATCAACCCATATCACTCATTCATTATTATTCTAATCCCAATGAAGATAATGAACTAACTCCATTTAGCAATTAACACTTTACTAGAATAACAATACCATTAAAAATCCAGCTTTATTATGAAGTCGCAACTACGATTACCACGGTGAGCTACGTACGGTGCGACATAAGTTCAACATACATACAACACAAAAAAGTACACCTTAATACTGTATAATTAAGGAAAGCAGACTTTCACCCACACCGCTAAACAGATGCACCTTATTAAAATAATGCAACCTGCCAATCACAAACAATCAACTCTAATTGCTATTCTGGATCACGTGCACGATTGTGCTGGTGACGTATTAGGGCAGCTACACACAAGAGCTGGATATAATCTCCATCAGAACGTCTTCGGAATAAACTTGTCAAATTTTTGCTTGGTTTTCAACATTTCGGCTTGCTGAAAAATCAAATCGGTTGGTATCTATACCCACGTTGACAACCTGATTTGATTGGGATCTGTCGGGTGGTGGAGGGTTTCAGCTGGAACTTGGCATTATCATACGTGTCAACCCCTCATCAGTGCCTACCTTATTGCAGAACAATTCAGACTTTAGTGGTCACCCCGTGCCCTTATAAATATCACAGTTCATCCCACAAAGTCTCATCACAAGGGAGAAACACAAATACTGTAGACAAAAAAAATGTTTTGCCCGTATTGAAACGGCTGTATGCCGTATGGACCTCAAAACTAAATTTCCCTGGACAAGAATACGGAGTAACTGTGTGGGTTGACACCGTATGCATTATACGGATACGATCTAACACAAAAGTAATTATGAATCAATTTTCTACTTGTGCTCAAGGGGTTGGCATGGAACCCAGAACGCTGGAATTATAAAATATTGCACGAACAAGAATTGCACCGTAGGTAATTGATTTTAACTCTGCATGGTAACTGTTAACAATCACGATGGTAACTGCGATTAACTCTGTCGCGCATGGCAAGCCATGGTAACTGTTAACTCGAGCTCTCATCATAATCAACCATGATCTCTCCACTTCTGTATGAATTACTCCCCAAGCCGCTGACACCTCTCTCAGCCTTGTGATGCAGCAATCTAGTTAGCTCGTCCACAGGAGCTGGTCTCTTCACTCCATATCCACGGTGGACGTCCTCTTTGGCTGCCACTCTCTCTATAGCCCGAACATCTGCCATCAATCAACCCTACTGGCAACATGTCCTATCCAAACCCAATAATTATTTTAACATTTAAAAAGACATCTCTCACTCTAACTCCGATCCACGTTGCATTCACGATATTGTACAGCGTTTAGAATGCATCATCACTGACACATCGCTATTATGAGCCTGTGTGATGCGTGCGAGCGGTCTTGCGTCACCAGTGCGCTCCGACTAGGGAATTTGGCTCCTTATTCGGCAAATAAATTAAGATTCGTCCAATCGTGAATGAGTGCCGACACTGGATCGAGCCTGGATTCGGGTTGATCCCATTGGTCAATAGAAACGTAATCGTTCAAGTAAAGAATGAAGTGTGTAGTTGGCGCAGGTTGGTGAAGGTGAGGAACATAGACGATGAAGCTTAGAACTACAGAACAACAATGTATTTTGCTGCACTGGGCTTTGCTGGCAACAGAGTCTCACAGGAGCCGATAGCGCCTGTTCTATTGAGATGGTCGCCCATCCATGCATTATCCAGGCTCAACCCTCCTTAGCTTCGCAGATCAGACAAAACGAGGTGTATACTGGTGGATTTCGTCAAAAGGCTGGAGTCAAACATAGGAGTTGTGGCGTGGTGCAGTGGTAACACTCGTCCCTCACAGCAAAAATAACCTGGGTTTGAGTCCCTACTCGGGCGCATTTCTGCGCGGAGTGCGAATGTTTTTTTTTCCGGGTTCTCTCTGTTTTTTTTCCCATAGCAAAAAAAAACATACAAAGTAACCATTATTGTAGTAACCATTTTTTTTCCGGGTTCTCTCTGTTTTTTTTTTCCCATAGCAAAAAAAACCATACAAAGTAACCATTATTGTAATATCGCCAATGCTGAAAAATTACCTGCAAGTTACTCAACAGGCTATAAAACATCGCCCTCCTAATGAGAATGCTTGGCAGGACCCTCTTGAAAGAATCTTGAAGACTCATTGGGACTTTCTTGCGTAAACAAGTGTAAAAATAATAATACACGTGGACAGGAAGCTACAGAACTTGATGGTTGACCACTGGAAATTGACGGGCAATTCCTTTTTGTGACACTTTTCTGGCAGAAAATAACTCAACATTTACCTTCATGCGCTTTGGAAAGTCCAAGGCGAAGAAACCGTATCCACGCCCCCGGCTTCCTCCTCCGATCACGAGGACCGTCACGGGCACAGCCTCGCCATCTGAAACCCACAATCGCCCGTGAATTTACAATCACGCGTGGCATCGACTCCGTCCGGGTTTTTTTTTCTTGTTTCGCTTATGCCGTACAACTCTCCTGATATGTTTTCTGATTGCTCCGCCTGCCGTTCAACAACGACGTCTGACGTTTCACACCCACGTGTTGGGAGGATTCTTCAGGAATCGAATGTACGCATGTTGAACTTCTTTCGCACCATGCATAGCCAACCATGCTAATCGGAGGTGCGGGGGGAAGGACAACAATCTAAACACAAAAAGCAGTTCTAAAGAAATTAGTTTTCAATCTTGATTTATAGGTGCATTGCTCCAGTGGCTTCCAAATATCGAATATATATTTTTTATAGGTATTACCACCCAAATGTGCATTGCGTGTACAAAAGCTCTCGGGCTTATCCAGACCACCAGCTCAAAAGCACTGAATGTGTCGTCATTTAATCTCTTAGATCACAGATTGAATGAGTGAAGGTACACTGATTTTCTTTTTCCAATTAGTCCTCTGTTGACTTCGTGCAAGATAGACGACGGAGTCTTAAACACTTTCAATAGATTCACGCCTGGCATATTCAGAACCCCCTTTGCTATACTACTCCCTCTTTGGCAGCTTTCTGTCTGGCATGCAATCTCCATAACCTCTTTATTTAACTCAAAACTTCTTTTGTTTACCAGGTAAGGCCTACTAAGCTATGTAGCTCTTTTTCAAAAGCTACCTGGCCACAAATAATATCTCAACAAAGTGGCTTATCATCACGTTGAAATTTATAGCAGACAAATACTCTAAATGTATGTCGAATCTAAATGTGGAGGGAAAAACCGGAGGACACTGCAAACTCCAGATATACAGGTGTACGGGTCAGGCTCGAAGCCACGACCTCCTGTATACCTAGCGAGGTAGTTAACATCAATCCAGACCTGACATTACCTGTGAACCCGCCAAATCATTACCCAAGTTGCCAAGCCCATGCACACATTTTAGCTATCTCGGGCAGTCAGAATAATTATCGTAAACACGGCAAGTTATGTAAAATGTTTGAAGGGTGGTCGTAGAGAACGTGTCGCGTCAGTGATGTGTAAGCGTTGTCTGTAATCGGGACTCATGCAATGTAGCTTTAAGATTAATGTTGAACTAAAAATCACCACTCAAAATTCCTTGACCACTCCAAGCTTCAGAATACACTCAGCTTTGAAGCCACCCACACCCAAGGATGACATTTTTTTCTATCCAAACGCAAACAGGTCCATTTGAGAGTTCCACGGCTCGAAATACAGAATTATATCCTTCATCTGGAACAAAAACATATTTAAAAAAATTCCACTTAATAGTATAAAGTGTAACGTTCATGGGTAAATACAAATATTAATGAAGTATGGCACTTATTTTACTGGATATCTGTGGGGAAAAAAAATTTTCGCATTCCTCCAGAATAAATATTCTGATTGCGACCATGACGAAGCATGATTATTGACTTTACCGAAATAACCAATAATATCATGCTATCTGGGTTTAAACTCATCATCATCACCACCACCAACCACCACCATGACCCACTGTGACGCGCCGCTGATGCACGGCCCCTTTAGACCCCCCCCCCCCTAATCCCCCCACCCCAACTACCCCCACCCACAAAACTACCCCCACCCCCACCACCGTGACATCACGTGACCTGCTGCATCCGGGATCTTGAGCCGTCGAGATTCGGCGTCATCGGCGCAGCGATCGGCGCTCGGAGCCGCCGCGCCCGACATGGCGAGGCGCGCGCAGGCACGCGACAGGCACGCGCACGCCACGATCGCTCGCCACGCTGCAGACGGCCGGGGAGGGGGGGAGGCGATCACTGGCGGGGACCGCTCGAACCTTGCCGCGCTGAGCGTGGCGGCGCGGGTTAAAGGAAACAACGGGTGGGGGGTGGGGTCGGCGGGTGGGGGCCGCGGTGGTGACGGCGGCTCGCCCTCGAAACCCAAGAAACGCGCCTTACCATTTCCGGTTTGCACACGGGCCGTCGCGCCGCCACCGGAAGTCGAGAAACCCCCGCGTGTTTTTTTTTTGTTCCCGTTGCTATATCGGCATCGTGTTGGTTTTTTTTTGTAAGCGTTTTGTCGGCCTTTATCATTGCCGTCGCTTTAACGCGGGATTCTCCGGTCGCCGCGCCAATTCCATTTTTAACTTCGATGGAATATTTTTTGACTAAAATGAGAAATGATCTGATTGGTCCGTTTTGCCGCCGCCTCATTTGCATAACCACGGTGGGGGCGCGGCGTGTCCCAATCGGGGGGCGGCGACGCCCACACCCCTGGCCGCGGCCAATGGGCGCGAGCCTCGCTGACGACACGTGACGTATAAAAGGGCGCTGCGCGATCGGCCCGGGCTCTTTAAGTGACAGCGCCGTTTCGCTGTCGGCACGTGAGGAGCCGGGCTCTGGGTGCTCTCGCTGTGGTTCTATTAACTCGCTAAGCGCAAAGCAGCTCAAAGCAATCCAGCAGCGACAACCCGGCGAAGAAGAACAAGAAGCGAGAGCAGCAGCCACCACCAGTCGCAAGCGCAAGAAAGCTTCAATCGGCAGCAACTTGCTATAAGCAATCAGCAAGCTTCGTCGATAACCAATTAAGCTAATTGGTTGCACGCAACGAAGAGGAGCCATGGCTGATACCGCGGTTGACACCACGACTGAGACGGCGACGAAGGTATTTGTTCTTTTTGCGTGTTTTTTTTTTGCTTCATTATGCGAGGCCGCTTTTCTCTCGTGGCGTCGTGTGTTTGTGTGTGTACTGTTTGTAACGGTGTGGCTATCTTATTGCTCTGGGTCGGCTTGCTGCTACACGCGCTACACCTGCACGGGTGGGTGGGTGGTGGAGTAAATGTCACTCGGAAATTGAACCCTATGTACGTACCCAAACGGGGTTTTGCGCGACATACAAGCGAAGCGTCCGGAGCAGAGGCTAAACAATAGTTTTGTGAACGACGAAAAATGAAAGAGTTTGTGAGTGAGGCAAGTGGCGGACTTTTTCCCCACTTACCGCTGCTGTGGATTCATCATTCGCGGTCCTGCTTGGGGCTTTTGTGTACACATCACCTTCCATCGCGCGCCCTATTGAAGGGCGCTCGTTTTCGACCTCGCTACCACCCGCTTGTGGACTTTTATCCGTAGGTTTGAGGGTTTGTAAGTGTTGTTGTTGGGGGGGTGCGGATAGTTGTTGGTTTATTTCTGTGTAATGGGGTTTGTGTGGTTTCAATGGGTTTGTTTTAAAATACGCGAGTTTGTTTTGCGCGCGCCACTCCACGTGCCCCGGTCTCCGAAGACAAAGATCACCCGTATAGTCTTAAGACTGTTGGGGGGGCAAGTACTGTTAGCGATCACCTATTAAGGTTGGCACGGCACACATAGGGAGGTGGGTGGTCAGCACCGCGCCCGGCCGCCTTTGTCTCCCCCCCCCCCCCCCCCCAATGCCGATGTTTTTACACCGCACCAGGTTACACATTTAAGGCTGAGCCGACCTCGTGGGAGGTCCGGAGCCGGTTCAAGATACTCGCCAGCGATGTTGGCTGCGAGCTGGAATCAAAACTGGGGTCGCCGGGATTGGTAGCGCCGCAGCGCGTTAACCACTGCGCCACCGCTCCCCAACATGCCCCCGTCTCCACTCAGTGCGCACGCTCGCCATGCTGCACGGGTGCACGTTGGCATATTCACAACCACGGCTCATCATAGTAACACTGCGTACACGACAGGCGTTAGTTACTACTACTACAGGCACTATACTACATGCAAGTACGCACGTAACCACATACACAGACGGTGCCTGTAATGCATACGTTACGGATAGCACGCGTGCTAACTATACTATGCACACTTATTCAGGTTAATGAAACACGAGTAAGTTTGTTTTCGCGTATTTCAGCCTCGTTCGCAATTGTGTCGAGGTCATCGTTTTAGCGGTAGGGTCCCGGTGGCTTGGTGTAGTTTCTGCAGGGAGGTACGCGTTTGGGGAGTGCTGGGGGCGGGTAGTCGCTGCGTGGCAGGCGAGAGCGGCGCTTTTGTGTTGTCGGCACAGGTGCAGCGGCACCGCGGAGCTGCTGTACTCGGCGGCAGCTTTAGCTGGCTGGACCCGCATAGGCTTGGCAGCGGTAGTAGTAGCCGTGTCGTGTGTGATAGTGCTGTTTTAATTCTACACGGTGTAATCAACGCGGTGTGCTTGTTGACGGAGTGAGTGGCGAGTGAATGTTAACGTCGGTGATGTTGGGATCACATTGGTGGTGGTGGTGGGTGCACTTGCAGTGTTGTTCGTCCTTGGCTTCTGAATGTGTGGTCCGCGTGCATTTATTTCGGTGGAAGCCACCAACCCACACGCAGCTTCCAACAGGGACGTCTCGCCCACTCAACAGTGGAGGAGGCCCCCCCCCCCCCCCCACGTGTAACTTTAAACTCGCTTTCCCGCGTAAAACCAAGGCGAAAATCGCCAGCCCCACTGTTGAACGCCGGGGTTAGCGATGGGGCTTTTTCCCCACCTGCGCTCGATGGGACGCTGCTGCGGTGGAGGAGAGGCATGTGCGCTGGGTTCGTGGTGCACGGGGGAGCACACCACACACCACACACGCATGGTGCACGCTTTGTTGTATGAGAGTAGTCAAAACCCCCCCCCCCACGTTAACCCCCCCCCCCCACCATCGTATGTTTGAGTTAGAGATGAGGGCGGAGAGAGAAATTACGATGATGATCATAAATTGTCTATACTTTAAGCGAGCTTTCTTTTGTCGTGGCGCAGTCCACTAACACTTGACGACGTCGACGACAGATTGCATCGCGTGTGATTTTGTTACAAAGGCACGGGTTTGTATTGTGCGCGCGCGTGCGTCTGTGTACATAAATAGGCGCTCGCCAACACACCGCGTATGCCATACAGAGCATATTTATATATTGTGTCATGCATCGGAATTGGAGAGACAAAGGCGGCCGGGCGTGGTTTCTGGCCACAACCAAACCAGCTCATTGCGCCGTGCCGGTCCTAAATCGGTGCTCGCAAACAGAACTAATTCTCCCAACAGCCGATACGGCTCACGGGGATAGACATCTGCGTTTGGCTGTATAACACAACAACCACCCACACACACGCGTGGCTGTGCCAGTCTCGTACTCCCATAGACTTACATTGACGAAAGTGCGCTCAGTAACCAACTACTGCGCTGGTGTGGCCGAGTTCGACTCGGGGGGGTGGTGTCGCGTTCAGTGTTCGCAGGCGCCCGTGCCGATTTCGCGTGTGCGAGTTAGATGTGCACGGGGTGGGGGTGTTCATGTGCGAGTGCACACCGAGTGTGTGTGTGTGTGATGCGTCGCGGTGGTGGTCGGTGGCCATGCCTGCTGGCGTGGTCCGGTACAGAATGAATGTCTCTTGTTTCTGTGGCGCTTTTGTGTGCGTGTCGGTGCCGCGCGAGTCCGCTGCTGCGGTGGTTGTCAATCGAGAAGCAGTCGCGTGTAGCTCTACCACAGTGGTGGTGCGTGGGGTTGTTAGTGGTGGTGCGTGTAGCTCTACCACAGTGGTGGTGCGTGTAGCTCTACCACAGTGGTGGTACGTGGGCTTGTTAGTGGCGGTGCGTGGGGTTTTTGGTGTCGGTGGTGGTGCTGCTGAATCTCGTAGCGCAGATCTGGTGGCCCCAGACACTCTGCCGGTGGTCCTCCCCCTCGGTGTGCGCGGACTCCCCTGGGCTGGGCCCCATTAGCGGCGTCTGGAGCCTGCTGGGGCTTCCCGCCTCTTGTTAAACTAGTGGAGCTTCCCGCCTCTTGTTAAACTTAATGTATCCACCAACCAGGGAGACCACCCCGTATAACATTGACTACACCCCCCCCCCAAGCCTTCCCTTGGAAGAACCCCCCCCTAAAAATCCCATTTGCCCGTGCGTTTGTGGAGCGAAACCGACCTCATTGGACAAACTATCTCCCCACGCGCGCGCGCGCGCAGCCACTAACTAACGCAGTGAGTGTCCGTGGAGGAGCGCCACTGAACGTATACACCAGCGCGCATGGTCTGGGGGGGGGATGTCCCGTATTTAACCTCGCCACGAGCGTCCGTGCCCTTTTATTCGGCCACGGAGGCTGTATTCACGCACCCGATCAAAGTGTGGGCGCCCCTTTTTATTTACTTGTACCACAAACAACACCGCACGTCTGTGTCGCCCCCACCACTCTTATCGTGAGTAGCGTGGGGCCGGGGGGGGGGCTTTTTATTTGACCGCCCTGTGTCTCAAACGTCGGGTGGACAATCGCCTCTCCCCGCCCGCCCGCCGTGTGTTCTGACCGACCGCTCGCTCGCTCGCTACCGTGCGCCGTCAACCCCGCGGGTTTGACATTGAAAGGCAGCGGGCTCTCTCTGCAAGCCGTCCCGGGAGCCGCGCAGTGCTTCAGCTCTGGTGTAGTTTGCCCGCCCCCCCCCCCATCGTCAACGGCGGCAGGCGTCTTCTTGGGCGCGCTTGCAATTCAACTTTTGTTGGCATATAATGCACGTGCCCCCCCCCCCCCTCCTCTATCGGTTTGTGTTGGGTTTGCCCCCCTTTTTTAGGTAAAACAAGTGGTGGTTGTGTGAGCTGTGTGCCCCCCACCTTGTTGAAGCGGTTCACGTGGCCGGCTGGGGGGGGGGTGGCGCGGAACTTTTTTATCCGTGACTCGGCGGCGGTGGATAATCGAATTCGCGCAACGTTTAATTTGTGTTGCCCCACCGAGCTGATAATAGGAATGTGGGTAACCCCCCCCCCTCTTAACCGCGATTTTCGCAGATAATCGGATTTGCGGATTGAAAAAAAATACACATCGCTTGCGATTGTAGTGAACATTTGCGGATAATCGGACCAATTCCCTCTTTATCCGCTGTTGTCGCGGATAAACGGAATAATAGCGGATTTAATGGAGTTGCGGATAATGGGATGGT